CTGCCATTGATACTAGGATTTTTCATGAGTCATCCCAATCAGATAAGGCTCTCTTTAATCGATTATGCCCACCAAATAAAGAAGGAAAAAGGAAATTCAGTGATATCATGTTTAGACGACTGAAGAAGCTTGGCATCTCCAAAACACAACCGGAGGACCTTACACCAGAAGAAGTTAAAAAATTCGCTAGGCTTGATATTGACCCCAATTCTATTACATGGAGAAGAGTGATGGATGTAAATGATAGGTTCTTGAGGAAAATCACTGTGGGCCAGGGCCCTGAAGAAAAGGGGATGGTAAGGGAAACAGGATTTGATATTTCAGTTGCTAGTGAGATAATGGCAGTTTTAGCCCTAACAACATCTCTTGCTGATATGAGAGAGCGGCTTGGAAAAATGGTAATTGGAAATAGCAAGGCTGGTGATCCTATAACTGCTGATGATCTTGGTGTTGGAGGTGCTTTAACAGTGCTCATGAAGGATGCCATTAACCCTACTCTAATGCAGACCCTTGAGGGAACCCCTGTTCTTGTTCATGCTGGTCCATTTGCAAACATTGCCCATGGTAATTCTTCAATCGTGGCTGATAAAATTGCATTGAAGCTGGTGGGACCAGGTGGGTTTGTGGTCACTGAAGCAGGTTTTGGTGCTGATATTGGAACAGAAAAGTTCATGAATATTAAGTGCCGATACAGTGGTCTAATTCCTCAGTGTGCTATTATAGTGGCAACAATAAGGGCCTTGAAAATGCATGGTGGTGGCCCTGAAGTTGTTGCTGGAAAGCCTCTTGACCATGCCTATGTAAATGAGAATGTTTCTCTGGTTGAAGCTGGTTGCGTGAATTTGGCCAGGCATATTGCAAACACAAAGGCTTATGGTGTAAATGTTGTTGTTGCTGTGAACAAGTTTTCAACTGATACTGAAGCAGAAATGAATGTAGTTAGAAATGCGGCATTGGCTGCAGGAGCATATGATGCTGTAATCTGTACTCACCATGCTCATGGTGGTAAGGGAGCGGTTAGTGTCTTTCCGCTATCAATCTGTTTCCATAAATACATAATGATCTGCCCAAAAGTGGACTCTTTAGAATTAGCCTCTTTGTTTCACCCTCATGGCATCTCATCCCCTATGCATTTTAAGTACCTAGGTCCATCTAATTTAACAGATTTGGCACTCTGCCTTTTTGTCAATCTTGCACTCACCCCATGTCAAACAGTATGATTGACACATAACTGGTTTTGTCAAAGAACAATGCTCTATGGTTTATCTCTTTTTAAAGCTGTAACTTCTAATTGTCCTATCTAGCAGAGGCACTTGCTCTGGATTAGCGTCATTGTTTGCCTCCGAATCTTTAGATTTCTTTGTGAAATCCCTCCTTTCTGGGGCATCTTTGACAATAATCATTTTATTGAATGCAAATGCAGCTTGGGCGATCTGACATACATGCTACTAAGTAGTGCATTTTCAACGTTAACTTAAGAGAAAATGCAATAGTTGCAAATTTTGAAGTTCAAACTATGTGTATATTAGAACATATTGCCGTCGATGCCTCTAATCTAAATTTTAATTGTCAGGTGGACCTTGGAGTTGCTGTTCAAAGGGCCTGCGAGAATGTGAAACAGCCACTGAAGTACCTATATCCTTTGGATATTAGTATCAAAGAGAAAATAGAGGCAATAGCAAGGTCATATGGTGCCAGTGGTGTTGAATACACGGAACAGGTAAACTCTCCATTGATCTTTCATCAATTCCTTCCGTTTTATATTGCAATTAATTCTTTTAATTGAACACCTCATTGTTAATTTTCTATTGTTTTTCTAACTCAGAAAACCATTCAGGAGTTTCTTGTTGCCTTGTTAACATGAGTCCTTTCTTTTTGTCCAACCAGGCTGAGAAACAGATCGAGATGTACAGCAGACAAGGGTTTTCTGGTCTACCAATCTGCATGGCCAAAACCCAGTACTCATTTTCACACACTGCCTCTGAGAAAGGAGCACCAAGCGGATTTATCTTACCAATAAGGGATGTGAGAGCCAGCATCGGAGCTGGGTTTATTTACCCCTTAGTTGGTACAATGAGCACAATGCCAGGGCTACCAACAAGGCCTTGCTTCTATGAAATTGATCTTGACACGACCACTGGAAAGGTTATTGGTCTTTCATGAAGCATTAGTCAAAATCTCTCTAGCATCTTTGATTCTCTAAGACACTAGCTGAGGGCCTTCTCGAGTGTACATGTGCAGCAATTGGGCGAGAACTCTGTCACAGTTCTTGAAACCTTTGTTCCTGCACTTTTCCCAGTTGTCCTTTGTACCATTTTAACATAAAGTTGGATACCTGTGAAGAATACTGAATATTTTCCCATCATCTATTTCAGTCTGGAACAAACAAATTTTTATGCTCATCTTGGTTAACGATTCAATAATTTTCTCTTGTTATTTTCACTTGAGAGGTTATGTTCATTATTCTTTGAGGGCTTTGCACAGTCAACACTCAACACTGCTTTAGATGCACCTGGCATGGCTGCTAGTTCTAATATATTTTCTGTTCATTGGTAGAAATGGACCATCTATGGGATGCTTTCACAACCTTGATGGTGTTGGTTTACCTTTGGTAGTACGCATAGTCTCAGAACTTGAATATCAAGCATATAATATATATGTAGTATAATAAAGCTTGAGCAATAACAACTGATCAAGTGCAAAAACATAGAATATCTTTCAATCTATCAAATTTCCAATTTCATAATCTTTTGACACTAGTACCATGAGTAGAGATGGTAACGTCGAACAAATTAAAAAAATTTTCTTCATTTGCGTATAATTCGAATTCAAATCAATCCGTTTTCGAATCGGTTTAAACTTAAAATATTTAAATTCAAATGATCCGAATTAGAATTTGTAAGAGATAATTAAAACTATAAAATCCAAATGTAATAGAAAAGTTACAAATAAAGCACTAGGAAAAAGAGATGGGAAAAACTCAGCCAAAGAAGGAATAATACCTAAAAATGACTTTGAATTTTAGCAAAACAAATGCATTTAAGCCCTCTAGATTTATGCCTACAACAAGAAGGGTCAACATAACCCTCTCAACCAGGCATGCTGGTACCCAGACAACATAGCTTACATACACATCGATCAAACAGGGGCAACATAATCAGAAAAAAAATCATCAGATTCCGACAACCTACTTCCATCATCATGTAAGCCAAAACTATATACACTATACAAATTAACCAGATTCCAACACATTATCAAATTCACCTGGGGCCAGCACAATATCAGGATTAGTCTATAAGAAATCCAATGGCCTTTGTACTCCACTTTTGGCTAGACTATCAGCTTCACCAATTGCTGATCAGGGCGTACGTCTAATCCTCCAACTTCGGGATCACGCCAAGCACATTGGATATCAACATGAACGCCTTTCGCAACCTCCAAGGAACCTCGTGGGGTTTTTGAACCCATTTAACCACATTAGCCAAGTCAGAGTCAAATCTTAAGGCAACAATTCTTCCAGGCAAACACAATGAAGACGGACAGCCTCTTTAACCACCAAGGACTCAGCCATGTTAGAATCTATGATCCCCACATTGTTAGAAAAAAGAGCCAGGATCGTACCTCTACGATGTCTGGGGATTCCACCTATGCCAGCGTCACCCGGGTTACCAAGTAATGCACCATTATTGAATTTGACCCGCCCTTCTTCTGGTTTAACCCACTCCCTCATTCTCCTAACTTTGCCGCAGGCCAAAGATATAATAGGGTGGTAGTTTGGCGGTTCTGTTTCTATTTAAGGTGATCGGGTACTCTGCTCCCTTAACTGTTACTGTTTTGAGTGCTTCTTGTTGCCCTTTTACTGATCTCTTTATTTTGATCAGCTTTTGTATATCTTGGACACATTATAAAACCACCTATGAATGAGCAATATATATATAACGAAAAGCCCTACGTACACATTATCTAAAGGAGATATCGCCTATTAGAGGGGAATACAAAACTTTTCTATCAAGAGTTAGATGTTAAGCAGAGCCTCTTACTTTGAGCATTGTGCAATGAAAGGATATGTTATGCATCAATATGAAGAATTGAGCTAGAAAGAAAGAAAGCTTCTAACATAATTGCAAAATAGAACATCAAAAACGATTCTGGAAATTATCGAATACAAAAATGTTTAAGAATTGAGATCATGCAAAATCTGAATTCTGGCCATTTAAAAGTGCTTCAGATTAGATCAAGCATTTGAGAGAGTAGAACCTTTACTTCCAGAACATAATATGAGCAATATAGAAGAAAGGCTTCTACAAACTTTAGCAGAAAAAGAAGAGTATACGAAATTCATCATGCTACAAATGGGAAATACCCATCGGTAACTTCTTAACTTGAAATATTACAAAAAGCTTGACACTGCTACGATGAGAATATCAATTTCACTTATACAGAAGGTTCCAGGTTACCCAATTTAACATGCTTGAGGCAGTCGTTTTCTATCTTATCATTTATGCTTGCACCACTGATGCAAAGGAGGAAAGGTTCCCCTTTTAGGGACGGAACTGCTATCCGAACAACTTCCAACCACCATTGAGTTTTTGAGGGCTTTGGAATATAAAGTTTACTTCACCCTGTCAGACAAGTTCCACAACATTCAGGTTTTCATTTTGCAACATGATTTCTTGGCAATAACTAAACTTTTAGCTTTCTGTGAATAGAAACATTACCGTTTTCAAACTATGCTTCCCTTTAGGGAATCATTGTTCCCTTGACACTGTCACTGCTATTGTTGCCA